TCATTTGAGATTTTATTTTCGAAAAAATTGAATTAAAAAATTTTTCAAATAATTTATTACGTAATATAAAGTTGAAAAAATTGAAAATATATAGAATAATGTTTTTTTTAATGTTTTTTTTTAATGTTTACAACATAAGAAAATTAAATTTAAAAATTCGTTAAATATATACTAACTATTGTTCAATTTTGATTTTTTAAAACAAGAATTTGAATAAAGTTTTATTACATATTTTATTATCCGCATGTAGAACAACTTTTTACTAATAATTTCTTTTGGAAAATATTCAATAAAAAATTATTATTTTTATACATTTAATATTTTTTACGTAATTCTATTTTATTCCATGCATCATTATATTTATTTTCTATGACAATTTAAAATTCATGTTCTTATCTTCATATTCATATTTTATTTCTTTCTTTTTTTAATCCTGTAAATTTCCTGTAAATAATTCTGCTTTTCCTCATTTTTTTTCTTTCATCCTGTAAAATCAATTCGTGTTCATTAATCTTTTATAAAAAAAATTTTAAAATTCAATTCTTGAAATGGCTGGCATTTGTTTCTAATATAATTTTTTTTATTTGAATTTCACTACATAATTACAAGTGAAAATAACCGTAGGAATACTTGTTTTTCTTCATAGTTAGTCAAATAATGCAGTATACCAAACAATATTGCTTCGAATCTTAACTTTAAGTAGTAGATACTTTCACGCAAGGGTTATTTCAGGAACGATACCCTAATAAAATGAATAAAACTGAAATTACTTTGTAAAAGTCATAAATACTTTATTGTCATATTTTGAAAATATTTTTGTGTATTAGTTTTTATTTTCTAGAAATTTAAAATTGTAAAGAGAAAAGTAAAATTTATATGTACTATAAATTTTTATAAATTTATCAAATATTTATACTTATACATTTATTTACTTGAAGATATTTGAAGAGAGATTAAAAATTATTATTATTATTTTCATTTTTTATAACAGTTAATTTGAAAATTATCTGAAAAATTGAAAAAAATTCTATTAATTTTTTATAGAATTGTTTTGTTCTATTTTTTAAATAAATTATTTTTAAATATTTTGATGAATTTAAAATTATAATAATAAAGAAAATTATTATCATAGTTAATCTAGAAAATCAACTTGGCTTATTGAAATGAAAAATAACATAACTCAATTAAACTAAAATATCCTATTAAATGATAATCGATGCAATTCATCATTTTGACTTCTGCATATATTATCGAATATTGTTAATTTGAAATTTCTGAGTTTATATTGTAGCTAGCTTGCTTGAATTGTCGATTAAAAAGTAGCCAATTCAGGTTACTTTCGACTCGTATTTAAGTTATAAACATTATTTATACCAGCTTGAATGAGCAACAACTATATATACAATACAATAATATTAGCGTGATCTTTGAGTACAATTTCAATGAGATATTGATATATTATAAGTAATTTCTTCATTGTTAAAATCAAAAATTCATCATTTGGAAAATTCAAAAGAAAATTTACATATTAAGAATTTTATAATGTTAAAGACTTACTTATTAATGATCATTAAAAATATTATTTCAAATATTACAAAAGTTTTCACAAAGGAAATTAATCTTTTAAGAATCCTTGTGTCGGTTACAAAATACCAATATCACTCGAGTTATGACGATCAGTTAGCGATCTCCCTATTGGATAAGCAAAAATGAACAGATTTCCCTGTACGAAGTTGAAACGGTTTAGTAATCCTTTAACATTCCCCGAGTCATGTTCCGGTTTTGTTCGCCGTCTCCGGGGACATGACGCAGTCCCGTGGGAGAGGCTTAAAGAGTTGCAAAGCTCCATTCCTTTCGACACACGGAAAACCATTTCTGAGATCGGATTCTTTCCCTGAAAGATGGTACAAAAATTCGCTGGAATCGAAATTCGTGGATTCACGTAGGATGCTTATAACTATGTCCTCAAGATTTATTCAGGATATCCTGTTTACGGGAAAATCTTGTGCAAATTTAAAAATACAATTCGTATATAATATGATAAAAATATATTTTCGAACAACGAAATATTTGTGATATGATTATTAGAAGATGGAGAAGATTTTATTCCAGTTTTTCAATTTTATTCCACTATCCAAGTTTTATTTTATTCTTCAACATAATATCACAATTTTCTTATATATTTTCTTACATATCAAAATCATTTTATTTTGCATCATTTTCATTTTTCATTTTTAAGTAAAATGTTATACATTTTTCGATATTTCCCATTTTTGTTGTATGCGTTTAATTTCTCATAGCTGTAAAATTAAACAAAATTTTAAATTATCTATATAAAACTTAAATTAATTTAATTTATAATAATTTATAGGACTTAAAAGCACATAAGAGAACTAGATATAAGAGTAATGTCAGAATTATTGTCATGAAAATTTGAATAGACATTCAAGACCATTAAAGGGATGCAAAAACAAATAAATAACATAGAAGATATGAATTGGAATGAAACGTAAATAATGTTTGTATAGATTTGTTTTCATTTTCAGAATAATAAAAACCTTTCGAATAGGATGTTTGCCTGTCTGCCTAATTACTTCTTCAGACTTTACGATTGGCAATATCGGCTGGTAATGAATAATAACAGGTAAAATGGCAATAATAAATAACAAAGGATGACACGACAATTTTTCCATCAACAACATCGCCCTCATTATGTGGTATAATCACTCTATCTACCCTTTACCTGTGATCAATGGAATTCTACAAGACTTTGTATATACCTGGTCCTCAAAATGTGGACAAAAAACGGGAAAAAAAATGGCAATGGACTAGAACTATGAAAGGATTAGTAGTAAGAAATTTTTGAATAGAAAACAAGAATTCTTATGCTTAGTTATGAAATGAAAATATTTCTAGTTTGATATTGATGTTGTTAATGCAGATATTTTATTATATTATAATAAGTATATCGATTTTTTTTTTAATTTTGTTGTTCATTTACTAAAAATAATAAAAATTTTGGAGTACGAATCAGTAAGTTTAATGGATACATAAAAATGATTTATTTGAATTTATAGGAAAGAATTAACAGACTTTTGGCTCTTTTCTTTAATTCCTTAATTTCAGATTATAATGTTATACAAAAATTATGTAAAATTTTTTAATAATTTTAAAAATCTTGAACCGTTTTATAATCTTAAACATTCCATAACAAGATACAAAAAGAAAAATCGTAAAATCGTTTTAAATCTTAGGATTGGTCGAAATGGAATATAAATTTGAAAATCTTGTCAAATTGGACAAGTTGAATGTTTTTATATTGATAAATATCTTCTTAAACCCGATCCAGCATACTCGTTATCGTTTATGAATTGTTTATTTTAATTTTTAAATCAATCAAAATCCTTTTTATATTTCTACAAATTCATTATGAATAGATAAAAAAAAAAAAAAGAAAAAATGATCATAATAGATCCATTTTGAAATAGCTTTGAATTTAGTTTTTGTACGAGGAGCAGATTTGAAAAAAAAAATAGCGTATTATTATGCCCACAAACGATTATTCGGACGAGAAACTTGATATTTGGACTTCTTATAGGTGGGCCGACCAGTTTCCCAGTATTTACGCAATCGTTTCCCGGTTTTTACCTCGTCGAAAGGTGAGGGAAAGGCCGGAAAAGCTCGTTTCATTCCGTCACCAAGAAATGGTCAAGTAGGACGTGGGTTGAGTAATATTATATTTGTTAATTGTGAAATACAATCCTGCGGTCCAGCTGAATTCTACCTGTGTGACGTGGGAAGTCGGTCTTCGATTTTCCAGATGTAATCTCGATGCGGATTTTGATCATCGATATTTCTGATAGTATCGTGTCTTGGACAAGGTATTTATAAAAATACTTTACAATAGGAACAAGCAAAGAATTTTGCAAAATTAAAAAATATAAACACTTCTGTCTAACATTATACACATATTTCTTATATATAATTTTATATAAACTATGCATTTTGTACATAGTTATAATGAAACTTGTATAATATAATCAAGTACGAGAATATTAGATTCTTATAATTTACGAATCAAAAGAGATTTTCGAATATTTTGTTAATTCTATTTCAAGTTTATATAGAATCTTTAAAAATTTGGAAAAGCTCTTCAAAAGAAACTCTTTAAACAATTCTTAATTTCATAATAAAAGTATTTCGTGGAAAAATCGAAAACGTGAAAAAGCTCGAACCAGGTGGATACACACATATGTTGCTCAAGTTCGACACTGTGGTCCATAACCGGATATGAGTGGACGGTGCACGCAACAGTTTCCCTTGAAAATAACATGTTCAGGGTGCATCGTTCACCGGCTCATCGATGTTTTGCAACCCGAAGCGTGGGAACATCGATCGCCACGGTTCACCCCCATTTTTACCTGTTCCAGGGATTTGCCAGAAGATGAAATACTATCTAGACACCGAGGGATGAAATTAGGCAGCTTAGCATTCAGAATGGACAGGGGCCTTTCAGCCGGTTTCCAATCATTTTCAAAACGTAATTCTTTCCTCCATCGGACCGGCGATCGTTCCTCCTAACGTTTTCGTAAAGGGTATTTCGAATGGATCGCATTATTACCAAGCTCCTCGATACACAAAACGTTGTCCTGTAATAGGATTTTCATCGATCTTGAAGGGGAAACGGATCTCGAAACACATCGACGGAGATCCGCGATTAATCTGTGAAGTCACTCGCCTGTTCAGAAGTAGCTGGAAAATGGGGAGAACTTGTTATTAAAGATATTATATAGAAGTTTCGTGGATTTTTTTTTTTGGACAATTGAAATCGATATTGATCATTATTTCATATTCCATGCGTCTAGTCTTGCATGAAACTAATATAATAGATTTATAATAAAAGGTAGAAAATATAAAAATTATTTTATTTTTTGATTCTTAGATAAAGTTTTTATATATTAGTGTAATAATCTTAGTTAGAAAAATTGACATTAGAGAATCAATAACATTTCTAAAGATATCACTTTAGAATATAAATCAGATGGTAAAGTACAAACTAAAAAATTTATAAATTAAAATTTCCAATATAAATATACAACATAATTTACCTATTCATTATTGAATTCCAAATAATAGGAATTTGTCACTACACCAGAGATCTATCCATCACAATCTCCATTCCATAGGGATAAAGGGTAATAAAAGATTGGCGTAACCCTTTATCCTATTCTCAGGTAAAGGACAAGCGTAGAGAGATGCGTGGCCTCTTATGTAAACGTCCATTCAAATATCGATTCCGATCGTGTTACCTGGCTCGACCTGGGAAACTGTGAAATGTCCATTGAGGGATGCAATTTTAAGGGGAAAAAGGATGGACCATAGTGTGTGCATACGCGTAAACCGTGGGATCGATCCTCGAACTCACTCCTTTCGGAATGCATGTTGATCGTTGCACCAAGAATTTCCATCGTCGATATTTGAATAGATGGAAATCCAACCGTGGGAGTGTATAAGTGATCGAGAATTTCGTAACATAGCCGAAAACTGAATCTTCTGGTATTGCAGATCACCTGCGTGGCGAACCAGGTATACATAAGTGCAGGATGACACGGTGGATGTGTCAACCGGACTGTGGGAATCGTATTCCCTTTTTCTGCACTATTATGACCATGATTATATATATCGTTGTATGTGGAAGAGTCTGAATTGATCCAGCTGAAAGTGAAATAACTTTTTCTTTTTCTTTTGAAAGTTGGTGAAAAGGGAAAAGATGGAATGAAGGCGAGTTCTATAATATATATAAATGCGTAGGATGATATTGATGGATTTTAAGTATTGATTTTTGTTATTTCAAAAAGTTTGGATGATTGCAGAAATATGTAAAATACCTGGAATTTTTTTTTTAATAATACATTTTTCTTGATATTATTCTAAAATTCATCATTAGTGAATTTTCACTGTTTGTAATTGGAATAATTGTATGAAAAGAGTCAATCTATCTACATATTATAAACTCTTTAAAATTTAATCTAAATTAGCACTAATCGTTTTTTTGTTCCAATATCAATCCAATGAAATTTTAATTTTGTTACATCAGTTTTTAACACTGAAGTATCATTCATATTAAAAAAATTGATTAAAAGAAATATATTAAAAGCGCATTTCTTGTATTAATTTCGAAATTTTCATCTGGTTATTTATTTTCCTTTCATATTCTCACCTTTCGCAGTGATGCTTTTTCTGTACATTGTCATTCGATATTATTTACATTTGACCACTTAAGGATGGAAGCAATAAACGATCTTCGGCAAATGCTCGAATTAAAATCGAGGGATGTTCCTGATTTTGAAAATAGTATCTACATTCGATCAATCGGACACTGAAAAATTTCACACGAGGCGTCATGTGGTACAGTATCTGCTTTTACCCTCTCAATGTCCATCCGGTCACTTGTTCTTGTGTCTAAATTTGTATTTTCTCAGGAAAGAAATATATCCATATTCCTTTGAGATTAGATCAATTTTCTTTCCTTTAGAAAACTATAAAAAAAAAAAGAAAATAAAAGAATCTTATTGAATCTTATTGAAGAATTCTAATAATTTCATTTGAAATGAAAATTGTATTTTTACCAAGTTCACTAATTAGATACATAAAAACTAAAGAATATATACTTTCATTTATAAAAATGAAGATATACGTTACGCAATCATCATTATGAAATGCACAAGAGAATAAAAAAATGCTTGGCAATTTTCAATATGGGTCAACATCTGAGTTTAAGTATAGAGAGTAAATATCGCTCATGTGAGAAATTACCAATAAACGAGTAATCTTTGTCTCCTTTTTATATTACCTCATTATCGACTCGTGAGATGATAGTCGAAGGATTTTTACAACCTCGGATAGGATAGAGAGATCGTAAGATTTTACGAAGAGGTTTCATCCTCTCTCATGAGGGGAACATGTAGCCTGTCACGGAAGGAACAAACCACATTTCGCCCTAAGTAAACAACTATAGAGGGTTCGCATTATGCAACCTGATGTGACCGGACCATAGATATTTCCTTTCGCTTCTCGAGTACCAATATATTCTTTTTTTTTCTTCTTTCTTTTTTCCTCTCTTCTTTTCTTTACACGAAAATTACGGATATTCATTGGTTACGTCCGGATATGTTTTCCAAGCCTCGTCCTTTCCTTCTGTAACACTATACGAGAAGAAAAGCAAACAAGAGATTATTCGAAAAATCGGGTGAAATCGCGATGATTTTTATTAATATTGATAACCTTGAAAATTTTCAGTTTCATTATTTTATTGAAAGTTTCGTATTTTATTAGAAATTTGAATGTAATCATTTAAATAATTAGTCTTTTTAATAAAATCCAAAAGGTATAAATCCAAATAATTATTTTAATTAAAATTTTGAATCTTGACCAAACATAAAGATCAAACATCAGATCAACAAAACACGTATATCATCATTAATAATACCTTAGGGACATTGACCGGAACTGTTTCGTTTCGCATATCGTGCACGAGGGCGTTTATTTCCGCAAATGGACGATTCATCCCCTCTTCTGTCGACAATACCATATGCATTAGAAAGTACGAATGATATTGTTCGTCCTTCATTAATATTAATACTCTATGATCGCTATTTAAACTCTCACGCCCTCAAAGATGATCAATGATAGACCTGAAATCAAGAGAGGTAAATAATTAAACATATAATGATGTACCTGATGTTATATACTGTGAAGAGGAAATTGTTAATAAGTGTGCTTTCGAATGATTAAAATTAATGTAATTTACGAAAGGAAAAAAAAAGGGTTCTTTTGATGGATGATTTTCGACCGTCCAGGTCGTCATCATTAATTCAATCCTTTCTCGACATGCTCGATCGGAAAAGGTCAGACGATTAATACGATACGTCCTAATTAAAATGTAGAGATATATTATGACAAGATGGATAGGTATGCTGATTAACATAGTATAATACGTTTAATGACCGGTAAAGGCAAAACAATCTCATGGATATTATCTATCGTTAAACACGTCAAGTAGATTAATACTGGTCTTTCCATGGTGTATTATAATATTTGTCTTTCCATTATGGTGAATTATTATCTTTATAAATGAATGAGTATACATTTATATTCCTTTTGAAGCATAAATTCATTAGAATCAAAATATATGTATTAATTTTCCTAATTTTTCTAATGAAGTGGCAGAATTATATATTTTTATATAATTATATCAACTCTGAAACAAAATTTTTTTCAATTCTTCCATTCGCATTCTAAAAATTCCTCAAAGACTGTCCTCGAAATTTCTCACGTGTTACTCAACAATAACGAGTAACTCGTTATCGAAACAGCGCATCCACATTCGAAGAGTTCGCGTACTCCTTTCTTGTAACAAACATTCCCGAAGGAATGTTCCGTTTCTACGATTACCCTTCTAGTTTATGAGCAAGTTACGCTCGAAAATGGTCCGCGTGGCTTTTTCCCCTCCTCTTTTTTGAATGCCTCAAGAGAAGTTGGCGATAGTCGGACGAGTGTGGATAAGGTTTATCGTGGTGTACGGCCGTGTACGGTTGGAAACACGGCGGTTACTCGCGCGCGAGTAACGCGCTGTTACTCACTCCCCTCGTAAAGTATACAGATAACGGGTAACTTTAGTCGCGGCTACAGAGGTGATTTAAATGGCCACTTTGCCTAATTGCGTTATGTTTACGAGCCACGGAAATCGTAGGCCGGCCTGATAGCAGTGTCGCGGAAGCAAGAAAACGCAATGCATGCAGCTCTTGGAGACATTTTATAATGCCGCAGTACTGATGGCCGCAGATTTTGGTATTTTTTTTTTTTCCTTTCCAAGAGGAAGTCTTGCTGTGATGTGTTTTTTTAAGATAATGTTGCGTTGACGTTTTATCTGTGAAGAAGTTTTGTTATTTTTAAAAGAAGCTTAGGATATATAGGCTTTGGTGATAGGCTTATGCTACATTGCTGATGATTGCAAATTTTAGTATTTTTTTTTTTATTTTTGAAGAGAAAATATTATACTAATTTTTCAAGATAAAATTATGCCATTTTTTGTTTATGAATATTTTTTCTAAATTATAAACAATTTTCAATAACTATTCTCATTTTCATTAAAATCTTATATTCATTTAAATATTGAAAAATAATTAACCTGGTTGATTTCTTTTTTTCCATTTTTGTATCTATGTTGTTATTCGCTCGAGGCTGATTTAAACAAGCATTGATGGCATGTGTTCATGGGAATACATTTTAATTATCGCTTCTATCCTTGTTTCAATCTCGTTGAAGAGATATATCGAAAGGCGTATAGGCAAAAGAGGCAGGTGCCGCTTCTTGAATTTTAAGGCGGTCTATTGGCTTTCGATCTGCTTCAACCTGTTATTTTAAAAAAGATAATAGATATTAATTCGATTTAGTTTTCAAGCATATTATTTAATTCTTTAATGAATCAATATATCGCAGTGAATGAATCATTTCATCGTGTATTATATAATTTTATCATATTTCAACATAAATAACAAAATTAATATAGCAATCATTGCAAACATATTTTCTGTATATTCGAATTTTTATTCAAAAATTATCAATCTTTCTTTTCTTTTCTTATTAACATTAAATAATATATATAAGATATAAATTTATTCAAATTTATTAAATTTATTATTACATAAATTATATATATAAGTTTTTAAAAAAAATTTTTTATAAGACAAACAATTTAGACAAGATTAAAAATTTTAAACAAATATGTAACGATCATTCAAAATGGCGTATCGAAATGATAAGATTTGAGAATAAGAAATTGAAAGATCGGTAAAGAGGTGGAAAGAAAAGAGGAAGAAAAAAGCAAAAAAGAAAAGATAATTATAAAGGTTCAGAGGGCTGTAAGGGCAGCTGTGCTTACTCTCACCTGGCTCTCTCTCTGCACCATCGGCGACATCGCAGTCCGGAAGATACGATGAAGAACCAATAACTCGAAGCTTGTTCCAAGAGATACCCGAAGAACACACAAATACTTAACGATGAGATAATTTTCTCAGGTTATTGTTTGTGTTTTTTTTATCATAGCCATAGTTCGTTCACGTATATCTTTGATAAGGGAAACATTCACTCTAGACACTCTTTTATAAGACACTTTTCTTTTTAGACAATACGATCATTTTTTTGCTATTGAATAATAATATATTCTTTCTTTCGTTAAATTCATAACTGCATAAACGAAATTTCTTATAAAAATTTATCATTTCAAATTATATAGAGATCAGGAAATTCTTTTTTTCTAGTTATTTATAGTTTTCTGTGTGGCGTCTACCGAATGTCGGCGTTAACAACGTGGTCAATATAAATCATTGGTTTTTCAGAATTTATCGGTATATACGACAGACGGCGCTGATGCACATCTATCGCCTAATTAATCGGATTATCCGAATGACATGCGCCGGCATTTTAGTGGCGTTGCACATCTGCGAAAGTGAAACAATAGATAGATCGATGCAGCTGTTTACAAAAAAAAAAAAAAAGATAAGAACTACACTTGAAAAAGAAAAAACAATGTATTTATTATTTGATGAAATTACTTTATTATCTTTGTCTTCCTCAAGTGCCAATCAATGCATAATTTAATTCTCTAGCATCGAATGTGAAAATCATATTCCACATATTTTATTAATTTTCATAGACAATATAATCTCATATTGAATTTTTTTTATATCTAAATATTAAATGCAGATCCAAATTTTACAATAATTCGCTTATTTGTTGAATTTTTTTTTATTTATCAGATGTATACTAAATAATATATTTTTTTATATTACATTTCTTTTTTACATTTGAGTTATAACTAAAAAATTATAACTCAAAAATGAAGTTGCATTTCTCTTGTAAAATCTTCAATTTCATTCGCTATTTTATGAGAAAAATTGCTTGCTAATATAATTTACGTATTACATCTAACATAACCTAATATCTTATTATAGTATCCATCATTTAATGTTACAATCAAATCTGTAACATTATAATTAAAATGATTTCATATTTTTTGTTTTACGATTATGAGAACATGAAAATAGTTTTATCAAAATTTTATATTTTAGTATTATATTTTATCGAGAAATATAGTTACTTACTTATTTTCATGAAATCACTTTAATTAATCATTTATATGTAAAATAGATATTTATTATAGTTCCAGTGTTAAAGATTATATAAGATATTAGTGAAATAAAAATAAAAAAAATAGTGTATATATATATATAAATGTTATATACATGTTAAAATCTAACCTGTGGCACCATGTCTTAATAACATATGTAATCATAGGACAAATAGCATACTATACACTTCTTTCAACGGCTAAATACAGTATACGAGAGATATTTAATCGAAAGGGTCTTCTTTATTCATCCTTCGAGTTGTCGGATTACATTTCTTGTAAGGTAGCGATCGTTATCACGGTTTGATACCTCTCTCATGGCAAATTACACGGTTAAACACGGGTTGGCGACGAGAGGGGTAGCAATCGGCGCGCCTTTAAAGATTCCAATCTCATCGGCTGTAACGAGTTGTGACACGCTCCGTTGCCCTCTTCACACTCTCGCCAATCCTTTTGCCCGCGACGACAGCGCCAACGAGGGAAGGATAAGTCGTTGCTTTCGAAATCGTTCACTCGTACGATCCTAACCTTAAAGGATAATGTTTCAACGGGCGTATTATGCGCAATATTTTGAGATTCTTATATATATATATACGAAAGTTTAAATTGTTGGTTTCGATGTGCATCGAAGTGGATTAATATGAAGATTACTTTTTTTCTATCTAAAGGATTCGTAAGGATAGTTAAGGTAATCCACGATTGAGTTCAAAAATTTTCTTTGGAACTAGAAATACGAATAATTAGTTTGACAAAATCTGCTTTTTATGAAAAACAATGATTTTGTGAAGGAATAAATGAAAATTTGATGAGAATTACTTAAAAAAAATTAATTTAGTTTTCATTATATAAATGGATACAATATTAAGAAAATATGATTTGATATGAAAATATTGTAATTCTATGTTAAGCAAAACTATCGAATGTTATTATTATTTTTTCTTTTATATAAATTTTCTCAATTAACTAAATGATATACAAAATAAATTAATATATGATTCTATTGGCGGATAGAGATCAAAATAAATACAAAAGTTGTTTGTTCCTGTATAGTTTATTCCTGAAATTAGCAACAAGTGCGTTAGATGAAGCGAGATAGAATCGATAGAATCAATAAAATCGATAGAATAGATAGGATCGATAAAATCGGTAGAATCGATAGAATCGATAGAATAAAAAATAGAATCGATTAGATTAACGAACAAAGATAGAATTGTCAATTTTAATTACTTATAAATAATAAATAAGTTTCAAATGGCATTTTTATATTAACTTCACTCTCTTACTTTATCGACTATCATCTAAAATAAAAAAATTATATTCAGTGATGCTTCAAAGATTTAAAGAATTAAAAGCTTTTTCAGATTTTATCATTCAATGTGACTGTAGAGGCGAATGTGTACAGATACTATATCGGACAAGACATCTTGCCAAATACAAAGTGTTCTTACCTAATACCTATTCTTATAATTCTAATTCTGAATAAATTCTTTTTTACCAAATATATATCAGGTTGAACTAAACATAAAGTTTCGCAGGTATGAAAAACAATACATTGTATTGCGTCACAGGCAATTTACGTTTTATGTTTCCGCCATATTTTTCGTATTTATTTTTCGATTGAAATCTATATCTTTCGAAATGAAATTTAAAACGGGAATCTCATTGCAAAGCTTTAAATTTACTCTTTTCACATTTATAACTAAACATTCTTTAACTCTTTATTTCAAATGTTTTATAGGCTACTTCAATAAATACATTTGATTTTTTCTGTGAAAATAATTTCGCGAAAATAACTCTAAAAATTTTACATGGGCAGATTATGAAAAATGTGATACTTGAAGCGAATATTCCAATAAATATGAAAATAGTCATATAGAAACATTCGAATGATTCATTTAAAAATATATATATATATAAAAATTGAAGATATTTGAAATGAAATATTTAAATTAATAAGTAATATATTATAACCTTGAATGTACGTAAAAATTATATCTTTTTAAAAAATTAAATTTAGAATACAGTGGAACACATTTCTTCAAATTTAAAATAATCCTTCCATTTTAGTTTCAAAGGATGCACAACCTTCCCACAGAAAGGATCGCACGTCGACTGTTCCATTTCCGATTGGAAACGCAAGAATGTGTTTTACACGGACGTTACTTTGCGGTAACGACACCGGTTTCTATAACTTATGGTCAGCCTTGACTTTCTAAGCAATCTAAAAAGCGGTAACGATGCAGCATCCGTGAGCTAACGGTCCTGTGTCTGTAAAGAGTTTAACTGGTGGGACGCAATAATTCAGGTCCGTCTATGGTCAGTGTGGAGCCAGCTGAAAGGGCTAAGATATTTATGGGTTGCAGCTGATCTTGGTCCATGTAGAGCTTTTTCATAGTGAGAATAAAACTAGCCTCGATGTCATCCATGACATCGGTGTCTTTCTCTCATTGATCTATATACTTAGTATTGTTACTATATTTTTTTATAATTTTAATATTAGTTTATGTAAAGGAATCTAATTAAAATTTTTTATTAACCATGATTTAAATCTGAAAAACTAATTCAAAGAAGAAACCATAGTCACTAGAGCTAACTTTCCAATTCTCTGTTTATCTCAAGAACTGTCTCTGCAGCTCTATATCAACGCATGATCGCATATGAGCACAAAAACGTCCCAAGCCATCGGTAATCCTTGGAAACTCGGTATTGTATGGTATATGTCTCTCGGAAAAACCCTTTCACGGCCAAGAGAATTCTTTCACCACAAGTATAAGTACAATTCGAGCAAATCTGTTTTGTGGTTCACCTAGTGAAACATACATAATAAATGGCGTATATAAAGGGTGTTTCTGGAATCTAGGCCAAACATAAAACGGCAAAAAACAATAAAAAATTCATGAAACAAAATTAGGTTCAAAAATTTCAAGGAATTGTATGTTCATCAGAAAATGTGATTCTTATTTTCTTTATAGAAAAAATTTAAAATAGACAAGAGAATGAAACACTATTTATTTCTTATCTTTCTAAATTTTTAAATAACTTTATTTAATAAAATTTCCACTTTTAAATTATTTCAATTATTTAAATTTAAAAATTAAATTTCATCAGTTTCAAGGAATACTTTATATATATATATATATATACACACAACATTAAGTTTCAGATAAACTACAACATCGAAGCATCGAGTCACGGATCCTTTATCATGCGGTAATGCCACTAGAAGGAAAAAAAAGAAAAGCAAGAAACAAGTAACCCCTTTGAGTCAAAGAGGGTACATGCACCGATGGTTAGAGAAGAGAAAAGCGGTGTTTTGACGGGATACGAAACGATACTCTGGTTTCGTCTCTCGGTAGAAAGTTTTCTTTGACCGGATACCGTAGGTAACGCTAATGGAAGTTGGTGCAACATTCGAAGGTGGTAGCTCGTGAAACGCGATCAGGATTTAACCCTCCGCGATTCCCTCCCCGCCAGCTTTGCTATCCGTAATCCGCCTACGTCGAGTGGACACAGTGAGCGCACAATATCGAAGAAATCCCTCACTCGCTTCCCTTGTTACTCACGCCATATGTGGTCCAATTCGAACAGGCTTGTGGCAGTATTACTATTTTCGTCACGTGTCGTTACCTGACGCGAGATCGAGTTTCGCCGTTAGCTAACTTAGATTGTTTCTTTTTCCTCTTCCTTTTTTTCTCTTATTTTCTCTCTTGTTTTGATTTGAAAATATTATAAAACGGTGTTTTCTAACAGTGTTTCCCGAGCCGCGATCCTTTTTTTATAATATTTATAATTTTTTGAGTAACTTGCGTTTTTCTTCTACCAATAGGAATTGGAAAAATTGATAGTAAGACAATTAGATATTAAAAAAATCATTTTAGTATTTTTGTAGAATATGGAAAATTATATTGAAAGTCATTAAAAATGAGAATAATGACTTCTTAAAAATACTTTGCGATTAGATTAAAAATTTGCTATGATAGAGATTGCATAAGAAGCACGTGTTTGTTTCTTGTCGATCAAAAAAAGTCGATGTGCAAAGAACTCGCATACAAACTCAAATATTTATATAATTTTACGTTTATCGTGTTTACATACGAAATATATTTAAAGTGATTTAACATCTAAAGGAAGAAGAGAGCAACATTTCCGCAGTCGTTTATTGAATTTCCGTGTTATTGGTAAGATACGTGTCAAACGAAGCAAAGTTAACACAGATTTAAATTAGTTTGCTCGTTGACCAATGCGTAATCCTCAGGGATTTGACACGTTCGAATCATGTGTTGGGGAAATAACCACCGGTCTGGCAAACGGAGAATCAACTTCCTGTATTCTCGTCGCATGCGCTCGACCTGACCAATCGTAACGTATTTAAATGAGATTGATGCATCGTTTCCTCCTAAACGACCACTGATTGAAAGAATGTGAAAAATTGTTTTCACGTCCAGTTATGCCTGCAAACATTCGGTACGTTTACAATTTTTTTTTTTTTAATGAATTTTTTCTAAATCACATCAAACTATTGAAAATTAGATTTTTTAAATCAGATTATATATTTACAAAATAATTTCTAAATTATTATAAAAAAATTTTATCAAATTATAAATTTATCATTTTAAACATATTTTATTTATACAGTATTACATTACACCATAAAGAAAAAAACCAATATCGACCAATCTTTACAAACATGATCCTACGCAAAAAAAAAAAAGATAAATTAAATTCGTATCTATTATTACAGGTATTATCACAAAAACCAACGAAATAAAAATATCAATGATCGTCCAAACCTGTTAGAAGATCTAATTAGTAAGAGAGAAAAGTTACGAAATCTTTGCTCATTCATCCGCTTACAAGATACCAAACATCTTTCAACGGTACCCTGTAACACGTGTTTGGTATTTTAACAAGGATCGAATACGTCATCAGGTGACCAGATTTTGTGCGACAAAGAGATCTGGAATTTAGAATTTCAGCAGGCGGACAAACGATACGACCAGTTACAAGATTTCAAGTTAACGCGCATTTGATTTATTAGGGCACTGCAAAAAGTTCACCCTTGACTCGTAACCCTTATTTGACTCACAAGTTTTAACTCAGGTCATCCTTAAAGGAAATCGTGGCTCAGTGGTACCGCAGCCAATAACGAGAACCATTTGAAATGTCTATTGTGTTAAATCAGAAAACGTTTCTTTCGCAACAAGCTTCTATTGCAGCTTCAGTTTTCGGAAAGGAAACCATCATTTTTAACCCAGCATGAAACAGCCTGTGTCCTTTTGTGCACATGGTGAAGGTATTGCATCAATAATAGATCGAGTTCTTGTTTCTAAGTTCGAGAAATCTGGTGTGATCTCGACACAATGTTCCTTATTCTTTTAATAAGTAGCAAGTTGATTGTAAAATATTTTCGTTTTGACTTTATTGGGATAAAGCATACAGTATGATGAGTCTGATGAATTGATCTGTCTTTATTTTATTGTTTATTTTATTTTTGCTATTTTTTAATTGAGATTGGACGAGACGAATGACAAGATAAGATGTTTGAAAAGAGATTATTTATTAATTCTAAATTTGGATGAATAACCTGTTTAAATCTCATTTTCGCTGATAAATATTTTGAACATTTGACTGGATGAATGAAGAAGAGATTTAGATTATTGCAAAAAAATATACCTATGGAGAATAAAAGTATTATAATTAGTGAAATTGGCATAAATAATAAACTTAGATCTTAAATCATGAGAAATTTATATTTCAAACATTGAAAGAATCGACTGTTTTTGGATTAAATATAGATACTTAAAAGAAAAATATAATAATGGGTGCAAAATCGTGAAACAGAAACCATAAATGCTATGCACCGCGATGTGTCGTGCATATAACCAGCATTTCAACATCTGCCATCAGACCACTAACAGGCTGACAGGCTGACCACGCATTTGCGCAACTGTCGCCTCGTCGCTTCTCGGCCTGATCGTTTATAAGCTGTCCAATGACCGATGATAATGATAATTTTCAGCTTCCAAAGAGGTGTCACCCAGATGTTACGCGCTATCGAAGCGCATTATCGGCTGCGTTGGATAGAGGCAACGAGAATTACATATATAGAGCTCGAGTTTGTATAGCTATGAACGTGTGCCAATTGTAAAGCCATAGTTGTAAAGGATGAATTCGATTATTTTGGTTTCGCGTGCGTTCGTAATTTTTTTTAATATAACGATTTGTTTTTAAAAGTGTTTATATTGTGGCGCGTAGAATACATTTGATTTGTTGCAATTTTTCTGGTATTGATTAATTATTTAAATGTCTCGATTCTTTGCAAACGTTCGATCGAAAAATATCGAACAATTCCATTATATTTTTTGTCAAAGAACGTCGTATGACGCGATTTTCATTGAAGACCAGTGCAGTCAATTTGACTTCATGGCATTTCTAGGTTAGCTTATCGGTCCATAGATCGATCACGCTTGTTTGCTTTTCAAATGGTTAACAAGAGACCTATTGAGATATAGAATCGTATTAGAAATGAAATTTCACATTTCTATTCGAAAAATTAGAAACTGTTTTTATCGAACGATAGGGCATTGTCTATCAGAAAAGTTATTAATTGCCATTTCTTTTTATCTTTGCACAAGATTCTTTTGCAGAGGGTGGCAAAGACAAATTTATCCGAGGAAAAGTTAGGTGTATGCGAGACACAAGTTCTCAAGGGGAGATAGCAGCTCGAGGATAGACGCAAAGCTGTCTAATGGTGTCACCTGAGATCATAATGGATGGCGGTCGAGAATAAAGACTTACTTATTCCATCGAAACGACGTGTTCTCGTGCATTTCTTTCAACTCTTGATGAAACAACAAATGGAAAAAAAAAAAAAAATGAAGATGGTGTTGGTTTTTCGATGCAATTTCATGTTATGACTTATAATGATCAAATGATCTCATAGTCTGTTGAACGAAATAAAAAAATATAGGTGTCCATTGATATATTCTAATACAAATTGAATAATTATAATAATTTTTCGAATTAAGATCGTTCAATTCATTTTTAAATTTTCACTTATATCGATCGTATGCAAGAAATTTTCGTAGAAACTTTCATTTGAATTTCTCTTACCTATGCTTTTTGTCGTTGCAAAACGATGCTACACCGATGTGAGACTCAAAGCTTGACTTATAATTTCCTGTCCTCCCTTTTTTTTTTTACTTACCACCAGTCCCATGGTCAAAGGTCCGACTTTTCTCCACGCATCTTTGAGCTTTTCTTCCTTTCCTTCTTTTTTTTTTTTTGTCTTTTTCGAACACTGTCGTCGAAGAAATTAGACCTGTCTCGTGTTTCAGCCATACGAACATCCGGTTCGTACGAGAAGTTACGCCTTCTTGACCTATACCAGCCTTATAATCTCACATTCGTAGGAAGCAACTGCTTTAC